AAGTCCATTCTAATATACTGACTTCAGACAAATACATTATAAAATGCAGATGAAAGAAGCACTTCAAAGGCAGGAATGGGTCAGACAAATAAAGATAGCATAATCATATGATTTGAATACACTCTCCAAAAATGATCAGTAAATGTAGATGGTGAAGAGACTTTGAGCCCTGCTGTCTTTTCCTTTAACAAGCTTGCAAGCTCAAACTCATCTCCTTATCCAACAGTGATATAGCATTGCACTGGTGTCCAAAATGATAACATATTAGGATTATCATTGCAGACTACATATACAATTAGCAGAAAGAATAAGACTGGGTTTTACTGTTGCCCATTCCAGTCATTTTAATGGCATGGGTCTTGAGACACTGCCTGCCCCAATTTATCCACTCGGGTTCCTTATAAAAGGATGAGTTAGTTACCTGACTGTGCACTACTGACCCCAAAAATCCTCTCTGATCTCTCTGAAGTCTCCAGTTTCCCCATAGATTCTGTGCTAGCAAGTCCCTGACCACTACACAGGACCACATGTCCTGCCCAACAGCTAAGCTGACCTCATGACTACTGAAGTGAGTTGAATTATTAAAGAAACCCAACAGCCTTGTTTTTTAACATCGACTCTTTCAGTGATCTTATGCACATAATGTCTGTGCTGGAGGCTTTTTTTCAGAACTGAGTGGGTGGTGAACTGTAGCATCATACAGGAAAGAGCAGCCAGAAACTTCTGGAGTCAGCTCTGCTGCTGAAGAAATTGTTCTATGAAACCGTAAAAAACGATGCTTACTGGGAGAAGAGGCAGAAGCAATTTAAGCCATGGCTAAAAGAAACCCCCTTTTTAAAAAATTCTACAAAACAGGAGATGAAAAGTTCACAAAGCTTCCAATTCTTGGAAATGTTGGAAAGAAAATCTCCACAACACCCTCAGTTGAGACATTTTGCCAGAGATCTGAGGCATGGCCTTTTGAGGGACAATGCTGAAGTGAGTTTTTGGGGTTTCTTCTTTCTCCTCTGACCCTTCAGAAGCTGGCCTTGGCCAAAAGGTCAGTCCCGTTGGGTGGGAGAATCAGAAGCTCGGAGACCATTGCTCCAGAATACACTTGGAGTAATAGAAGGCTTACTTCTCATCCACCATAAACAAACTCAGAATTATTAAGAGACACACCATTAACTCAAAGTTTTATGTAGCAGCTGGGGAATCTGCTGAGGATATACTTATCAGTTGAGGTCTATTTTACGACGTCTGCACATAACTCAAACCATCAGCTCATATTGGCTCGACCTTTCGCTGACAGGGACCGTGTCACGTATCCCACAGGGCAGCTGGAAGCCGCCAGCGGACAATGGGGGTGAGCGGCTGACACGGGCCGCCACGGCCCTGGCAGAACAATGCAGCTGCTGCGGAGGTTGGCCCCACTGAAGGAAACTCGCTTCTCCCAGGTTGTCTGAGGGGAGGGACACCGGAGCAATGGAAATTCCCCAGCAGTAAAGAAGAACAAAAGAAGAGGTGTTGGAAGCTGCCGTTAAAAAGAGACAGGCTCTCTAAACCTGCTGGCTGCCAGACTTGGACAGCTTCTTCCAAGGCCTGAAAGAGGAGAGGAGGGTCCCCTGCCTGACAGAAAACCACACTGCTCTGCAGGACACAACCCCTCCGGAAGGGGAGATTAAAAACTAGTCCCCTCCAAAGCGCACCGGACTTTTACTGTCCCCCGTTGGGGCATGGCATTGAAAGCGCAGCCAGTGCCAAGGGCCCTGCTCAGCCCAGGGGTGTCCCCCGTGCCCAGGTCGGCCACGAAACCCCCACTGCCCCGCAGCCGGGACCTGGGCTCAGCACGAGCCCGTCTCTCTTGTTTTTGCATGTATCTGGAAGTCTCTACATTTCCTCCCCTGATTAAAAGGTGTGGCTGCTGAAGAAATTAGTTTACAGAGCCTCCAAATTCCTTACTGCCGCTGTCATATGTCTGCAACAGGAGTATCCGCGAGGCTAGGGCGTGGGGAGGGGTGTGCTGCACCACGGCACTGCTCTGGGACTGCCAAATCCCCCTTTCTAGCAGGAGTAACTCTGCAAGGACTCTGCACCTGGAGAGGAAACTTGAGGAGTAATCTGTATATGCTAGATTAAAATATCTGGTAAAAATCCCTCAAACCCACACATATCCTTCCCTGAAAAAAATTAAAATAAAACCTGTGATTTTACAGCTTACTTTCCTTATTAGTACAGCCGTAACGGGTGTTTTTACTGAAACAAAGGGAAAAGTTACATTGATTTATAAATTCATTAAAAACACCAGAAGAAAAAGCAGTGGTTAACTAAGTACTCTCACTGACTGCCATAGCTTTTGGACCAAGCCCAGAAGAATGCTGGAATAAGTGGTGAAACATTTTATTTTCTAACTTTTTAGTGGCTACTGCAAACAATGGAAAATACAAGCACATACTTAGAATAACTCTATCCTCTGCAAAATGAGATCACACCTAAAAATACTTCCTCTTGTTGCTGTATAACTTCAGTTTATGATAATAGCTATTACACACATATAGTATGGAGGAAAAAATAGCTTCCAAAGTGCTGGTTAAAAACTTGATATTGTATAGTAGAGTTTCTGCTGCAGAATAAACTTGAAAATTTGTAATGATTCAGACTATTTGAATAAATAGCAGAATGGACAATCCAATTATTGCATGGATAAGATGAAATAAGGTAGTAAAAAGCCAGGGGTTTGAGTTATCAAATTATTCCTTGGAGACAGGAAAAGCTATACGATGATGATGATGATTCTTTGTATCAAAATTATGTCAAGTATTAAGAAACAACTGCAAAATGTGTCTGAATTTTAGTTTTCCAGTTTGAAACAATTAGCGCTATTATTTATATCCCCACACATAAGCCCACACAGCTTGAATTTCCTGGGATATACATGTGCTATTAATTTTTAACTTCACTTTAGGATCCAAGCCTGAATCACCAGGCCCTGTCGCTTTCAAGTGCAAGGGTGTGTTTTGTCCACTTGTACCAGAGACTGTTCCAGTGCCCTGGCTTCTCAAAGTGCAAAGGTACCTTTCACATTTTATTTTTCAAAAGCATCTCCTACACTTAAATACCCTTAGCAACCTCCGAAGCAGCCGACTTTCGCAGCTGTGTTGCCGTGCTACGGATTTCATCATTGCTTGACCAGAGAAAAGAGCGTTGGTTGAGTTAAAAATCACCATTTCAAGTGCACGTTGCATCAGTTTCCTGCTGAGTAGCACAGGCCTAACAGCAAACAATAGTTCTGTAACCTGACGAAGAGTAAATTAACATTTATAGAACAGATGAGCACTGACATTCTTAAGACAAGAGCAGTATTTTCTTATGCAGTTTGCTCAAATCCATTAATTCTAAAACTGCTAGAGTGTTTAATTTCAAAGTGTGCAATCCCAATGTTCCTCTCAAAATATAGAAAAATATAGACGAGACTAAATGCAAAGTTACTGCAGGAATAGAAATACTTGCAATTGCTTTAGAGAGCACAAAGCAGACCCTGCTCCCTTCTCTGCCAGTGGGAATTTTACCACTGACTCCAGTGAAAGCACAGCCAGGCTAGTGATTTTCTTACACTTGAAGGCAATTATTTTTATTTTAAAATGCAGGAATAGCCTCCCGCTCTGGTCCAGTTCTCAGCCTGAGGCTGTAGCCCTGCCAGCACTGTTAATGTCATTGTTTGCGAAGCGTATTCCCAGTCTCGCGTACACCCACGCAGGGCTCCCAGCTCCCGGCCGCGATGTCCCCCCTGCCGCATTGTTCCAGC